CTATGTAAACATGATAGAGAAAAAGAGAAAGAGAGAAAGAGAGAGAAGGGAAGAAGAGGGGAGGGGAGAGGAGAGGTTAAACAGTGTATCATAGTGTAATGTCAGCAGATGGAAGCTATGATGAGATGCTTGTCAGGAAGTGGAATGTTGAAATCAGGGTGGAGTAACTGCTAACAACAAGGCCCAGCAAATGACCCCGGGAATGGATATTTGTGGCTAAAGAAGGTGGAAAAGGCAAGAAGCAGAGAGGCCATGGGTTTGGATACTCTGCTCACATATATGTTGAAAACATACAAAGATAATAAAAAATTTTACCAGCTGCTCCTCAGACAAAGGACTATTATCTAGAATATATAAAGAACTCAAAACAATCAGCACCCCCAAATATAAAGACCCAATTCAAAAATGGGCATCTGAAATGAACAGACACTTCTCAGACAAAAAAGTAAAAGCAGCAAGTAAATATATGAAAAAATGTTCCACATCACTGGTCATTCGAGAGATGCAGATGAAAACAACACTGAGATTCCACCTTACCCCACGAAGAATGGCTGCTGTCAAGAAATAACAAACATTGGCAAGGCTGTGGAATGAAAGGAACCCTTCTCCATTGTTGGTGGGAGTGCAGAGTGGTGCAACCACTATGGAAATCAATATGGAGATACCTCAAAGAGCTTGGACTGGAGGTTCCATTTGACCCAGCCATCCCTCTGCTGGGTATCTTTCCAACAGAACTAAAAGAATCATATCACAGTGATGTATGTACACCCATGTTTATAGCAGCACAGTTTGTAATAATAGCTAAAACTTGGAAACAGCCCATCTGCCCATCAGTTGGAAACTGGATAAAGAAGATGTGGTTTTTCTATAAAATGGAATACTACTCAGCCACAAAGAATGAGAAATTAGAGTCATTCATAGGAAAATGGATACATATTGAGGATACACTCCTAAGTGAAATAAATAAGTCACACGTGTAAATACCGAAGTTTCTCTGGTGTGAATAAACTGTAATAGTACCTAAGATCTTAATGAGATAACTGACATTGTGAAATGGGAAGAAAAAGGCTAAAGGTGTAGGGAAGGTGGGATGGCTAGGGGAAGGGTAATAAGGGAAAAGAAAAAAATGCGAGAAAATGAAAAGGTGGAAATAAAGTGTTAGTAAATGGGAAGGGGAGGAGAGGGTGAAAGGAGGGCAGGGACAAGAGGAAAAAATGAGACCCAAGACCTGTCATGTAAAGGTATAAGATCCCAACAATGAATGTTACTGTACTGTATCCCTAAAATGTACCAATAAACTCAATTTAAAAAAAAGTAGGAGAGGAAAATAAGAGTTCATAAGTAAAGCTTTCAAGGCAAGAGAAGAATGAAAAACTGTTAGCTAGAAGGAAGATATTTGGCAATTACAAAGCATTTGTGTAATATGAAGGCAGGAACTTCATTTTGAGAAATGGTGGAGGACAAATAATTAAAACCAGGAGGAATATTTTAAAAATACCTTACCTGGTTATAGTAGTAGTGTAGTAGTAGCAGTAGTAGTAGTAGTAGTAGTAGTAGTAGTAGGGTAAAGCCACGTTTCAACAAGACCAGGAGGACAGGGAGCAGTCAGGGCAAGGAAGGTGTCACAGATCCAGTTCTAGAAAAGGACTAGATCTAGAAGAGGACTCAAAAAAAGAGTTCAGGAAGGAATGAGGTATAAGGGATTGGGTTGTATAGTAGCTTTGCTGTCACTGACACAATGCCTGACATTCACAATTTAAAGGAGGAGAGGCTTAATATGGTTCACAGTTTCAAAGACATTCAGCTCCAAGGCAGGAGCTCATGGCAAAAGGGTGTGGCAGAGTGAAGATACTTAGTTCATAACTGCCTTAGACAGGAGATTGGGGTGTGGCAAAACTGGCCAGGGAAGTAGTGTCTCTTGGTAATTACAAATCCCAGGACACAGACACAAGAGTTTCCAAAATGCTGCACATGGACTTCTCATGAGAGCTTGATCAGGTTTTCTGTAGGTTGGCCTAGATTGACATCAGTCTGAGGAGTGGATGACACAAAAAGAATGGCCCACACTGAGTTTTTGCCACTGGGTTCTCTCTTACATGGATGGCCCACCTCATGCTGGAGGGCATACTTCTTTTCCTATTTTTCCTTGGCTCAGTCTTGCTCTGCAGAGCCTGTTTCTTTTCTTCTAATAAAACTGTGCTACCATTTGCAATTGTCTTGACCAGTTCTTTGCTTGGGAAAGAAAGAACCTAGAAACCACCTCCAGAAAGAGACTCCAGCACTGCAAAATCTGGCGACACCAGTAAGCAGAGTGGAGGAACAGTGTCAGAGAGGAAGGGGTGAGGGAGCAGAAATATATCCCAAGGCCAGGCCTCCAGCTCCCACCCGGACACACCCAGAAGTGTGCCCCATCAGTCCCCTGAGTGGGTCTCACAGGCAACCAGGTTGACACCTCACTCTGACTCACAGATTAGATAATGGTAAATGCACAGGCCCAGCTGTGGCCTTTTGTGAGTTCCTGAGAGAGTCTTAGTGGCTAGTACAGACAGTGCTAATTGACTACAAAAGAAACATGAGCTAACAGCCTTTTCCTCTATAAACACTCACCAATCAGATAGTTCTACAATTCCGTGTATCATGTACAGTACACTCTATAAATGTAAACGCAGTGCTTGTTAAGAAAAGTGCAACTTATTGTACATTGTCCCAACAAATGTTTACTTTTATAATTGTTCTGAACTTGAATTGGATTAGTATACTGTTTTAATGTGTGAATGAAGCCTTCTAACCAGGAAGGTAACAAGGTGAATGTGAGCCAGTGATGTTTTCAACACTGTATCTCTCCTTTGGCCCCATTAAGCAGTAATAAACATTAGTTCCAAAGTTAAAACAAAAAGTGGGTGTGTGCATTAATTTACGTAAAGAAAAATGAAGATAGTTTTAGAGGACAGAATTAGGAAACTGATTTGTATTTAAGGAGCAATGTTCATCATGTTTTCTTTAACAATGAAAGTAATGAGTTGTTTACCATGAAGGTAAACAAGTAACCCTGGTGATTTAAAAACAAAACAAAGATAAAATGCAATAGAGTTTTATTATACTTATATTAAATCAAAGAAATTTTCCATAAAACACCAGATTCCTAAATAAGCCGAGAGAGCAGGTGACCATGAAGGAAAGCATTATTAAGCACTCAATTTTTTCTTTTTTCACATGAGGTAGAATTTATTGATTAGCTGGATTAAGGACAGCACAGCAGAAGCCTTGAGAGTGCAGGGCCTGCCACTTGTCTAGGGGACTACAACTGAGGATATATTTTATACCACAACCATCAAGGATGAGCAGCTTCTCGTTGCTGTGTCTTTAAATTTATCTGAGTTAAGCCTGGTAAAGCAACTCTTCTTTGCGATATGGATCTTCTGGTGGCCAGGCAACTTGAACTTAGCTCTGAGTAGGACCTCAATCACTTGCTTCTTGTTCTGCAGCTTGGTGCTGATGCACTTGCTGACTCATCCAATGTGAATTCTTGTCACCATGTCCTGGGGCTTCCCAGAGGCAGCCCCCCAGCCCTGGCATACTTGTCTGAAGTCTAGACTGGGCACAGTATGAGACCAGAGACATGAACATCCACTGGGGACACTGTCTCCAAGGTCCCTCGGGGAAATCCGTGCAAGCGATAGGCTGAGTACACTACTCAGGAGGTTGCTGTTTGCAGCCACTGCACATTGCACACCCACGAGTAAATGAAAACATTCCGCTTAATTGGCTGCCGTTAGTGTTTTCATTTTATCATATTATAGAATACTTAAGATACTTCTAGGAATATGTTAGCTTAAAAGAAGTTGTTGGTCTTTCTGAATGGTAAGGTTAAATGTGATTTGAATTTTTAAAAAGTTGACACATTATTCTTGAAATTAAAAAGTAAATAAATCTTAAAGTGATATTGACAACAACAGTAAATTGGGAACAACTTGGTTAATAAACGAAGAGAGGACTTGCCTGGATATTTCTCCAAAAAAGGTGTACAAATAGCTACTAAGTATATAGAGAGTCAATATTGCTAATCATTAGGGATGTAAACTAAAACTATAGTAAGAATTACCAGGAGATGACTATTATTAGAAAAAAAGACATGTTGGTGAGAAAATGGAGAAATTAGAACGCTTGTGCATTGCTGATGGGAATGCAAAATAGTGCAGCCACAATGAAAACTAGTCTGGCAGTTCTTTAAAAATTAAACTCAGAACTGCCATCTGACCCAGCAAATTTACTTCTGGGAATATATCCAAAAGAACAGAAAGAAATGACTTAAAAAGTATTTGTACATCAATTTTTATAGCAGCATCATCATAACACACAAAAGGTGGAAGCAACCCAAATGCCATTGAGAGATGAATGGATAAACAAAACGTGGTGAATACATGTGAGGCATTTTAATCCAGCTTTTAAAAGGAATGAAATTTTGACTCGAGTTGCAGCATGGATGAACCTTGAAGATACAATGCTAAGTGGAATCAGTGAGTCACAAAAGGTCAGATAATACATGATTCCACTAATAGGAGCTACTAGGGTGTTTAAATTCATAAAGACAAAAAGTAGAATGGTGGTTGCCAGGCCAGGAGGAGAGGAGGTGGGAAGTTATCATGGGTGTGGAGTTCCCCACTGGGGAAGTTGGAAATGTTTTGGAAATACATAGTAGTGATGGTTGTACAACAATGTAAGTGTGTCTAATATCATGGACCTAAACACTTAAACATGGTAAATTTTACATTGTGTATATTTTACTACAATTTTTTAAAATGTCATATTGATTAAAAATGATCAAAATATCCTAAACAGAGGAATGTGAGCTGGCTTATCTTTGTAGGGGCTGGTGTCAGAATCCATTTCATTCTCTCTTTGGGTGAGTAATTTGAAGAAGTCAGTGTGACATAAATGTAATTTGCAGCTGACCCAGCACTGGGAGGTGTGGTATGTATAACCAAGACAGAGGAATAACTGAAATCTGACTCAGAGATGCTAGAAATATTGCTTTGCAGTAAATTTAGAAAGGGGGAAGAGTGCACACAAGACTAATGCCACACAGCATTGAATTTGTCAGTGTCAGTTGGAGCTAGCTGTGGTATGGTGGAAAGAACACTTAAGTGTTTTTGCAGTCAGAAATCCTGAGCTCAAATCCTAATTGTGTCTCTCAGGGACTGTGTAAACTTTAAAGTTAGGATAATAAAACCTTCCTCAAAGGATTGCTGTGAACATGAGCTGTTCTCTAAAGGGCTGTACGAATGTCACGTTGTGACCAAAGTGATGATGTCAAAAGTGGTATTTATGAGAAAGACCATACTACAGTGGAAAGAACGACAAATTTAGAATCAGGCAGACCTGACTTCATCAAAAGTCAGATCATAGTTTTCCTCTTAGAGATTGTCGGACATTGGGCAACTTTGTCTCAGTGAGACCCCATTTAAACAGCATGTGTTTAATCTACCCTGTAGGGTAGATAATTTTATGTGCACAGGACTTGAGATAGGGAAAAGTTCAAGGAGTGTTAGTTTCAATTTTCCACCCAGCTACTTCAGAAAGGCATCTGTGATAAACACACAGAACAAATATAGATGAGCAGGATAGCCTTTTATAGAGTAGGGAAGAGGACGGGTTATAAGTAGATCTAACAGAAAGCACATGCTTGAAGGCGGAAGAGGCATAATATTCCCTAGAAGCTCAAGATATATTGATCTTTGTGGAAGGATCATGAGAAGCATCATAGAGGAGATAGATTTTAAAAAGGCCTTGATGGTGGCTGCTTGAGGAAAGGATTTGTTCCAGGAATGCAAGAAAAATGCAGATGAGTTAGAGAAATGTAGGCCACTGTTGCTGGTAAATAATAGCCAACTTTACTGGAAAGTGAATTAGTTTTCCATTGCTGCCCCCACATATTACTACAAATTAGTGACAAAAACAACACAATTTATCTCACAGTTTCTGTAGGACAGAGGTCAAACAGGAGTCTCTCCAGCCTAAATTCTAGATGATAGTAGAGCTGTATCCATCCCCACACGGCTCTGGAGAAGAATCCACTTTCAAGCTCATTCAGGTTGTTGGCCAAACCGAGGTCCCTCCTTCCATGCTGTCTGTTAGCTGGCATCCCCTCTAAGGCTCAAGAGGCTTATCTGTAGTCTTCTGCATGGCCTACTCCATTCTCCAGACCATAACAAACATGGCCCATTCCGGTCTTTGGACCATAATGACACATCTTTCTTGTTTTGAATTTCTCTGACTTGTGCTATGTCTCTTCTGCCTCTAGCCAGAGAAAGTCCTTTACTTTAAGGCCTCATGGGACTAGATGGGGCCCACTCTCATAATCTAGGATAATCCCTCCATTTGAAGGTTCTCAGCCTCTGAGCTATTCCTTTCTCAGGTTCCAGACATTACAATGTGAATGACTTTGGGGAAGGGCATTCTATCTACCCCAAGCTCACTTTCCATACATTAGTTCATTTAATCCTTTCAGTAATTCTATGCAATTGTATTCTGTTGGTCACTCTATAACAAAGGAAACAGAGAACCTGAGATGCTAATTAGTTTGCCCAAAGTCATATACTTTGGAAGTATAAGAGGCGGAATTTTAACTCGTGTCATCTGAGTTCAGACACAAATTCCTGTGAAAGCTTACCCAAACAAGAAAAGGGTAGCAGACTATAGACCTTGAATATCAGGGTGAGATGCTCAGACCATTTTTGTATGCAGCAATGTTCATTGCAATCATACTGGGGAGAAAAAGACTTAAACTATAGATACTCTGTGGAAGACTGACTGGTATTTGAAAGAATTGGTTAGAGACTTTCATGGGTAACAGGAGGCAGATTAAAATCTGAATAATGAGACTTGAATTGGCCTCAAGAAATTATATTCTTGGAGGGCATCTGATGTAGTCTGTATAAGCCTGTTGTGGAAATATGACCAGAGAATAGACACATGTTGGTAGGCTGGATTCTGGAAGATCTCAGGAGGATGTGATGGAGCCTTATGTTCAAACATATTCCATTTAACTAGTGATCTCAGAACATGGAATGTTCATCTTTTTAATGAAGTTCACTGAGGATAAAATAATGACAGGAAATTTTTCCCATTAAACTTGGTGGGGTGTCAGGGGACAAGGAATTCAAAACACTGATTGTCACTATGATAAGGAGATCTGGATGGAGCCACCATAATTAAAGAGGTCTACACTAGACAGGACAGAAGCAAATCATGAAAATGAAATGTGGTAGCTGGTCTGGGCTCCGGTTCCCAGATGTGCAAATTTCCAGATGTTACAAACTTCTGTGCTTTGGGCATAGCTAAAGAGAAGCCTCTCGTAAAGCACTTGCTGGCTTCCCGAATACTAGAAAGCAAGAAATGGTTTGGAAAGAAGCTGAGGGAAAGCTGCACAGGAAAGGGTTTAGAGAATAAGTAGCACAATAAAATTCACATCAGGGAGAGAAACTGTAACTCCTTAAAACTTGCCAGCCCGTCCTCCCCACCCACCTAGTTCATGCTGGGACTGCCCAGCAGACATGTAAGTGCACTGTGTTTTTCCATGAAGAGTATTTTCAGGGAGCTCCTGTTTCTTCATACAAACATTGCATTTGTTGGGTTGGTTGGTCACTACTGGATTACTTGTTTTCTTCTCCAAACTGAGCTTCACGAGGCCACTTGAAAAAAACATAGGCTAAGAGATTGTCTACAGAAGTGGCTCTTAGTTTTCTGTGGTCCCAGGTCTCTTTAGAATTTTGATAAAAGCTATGATTTTTTTATACCCCAAATGTGCAACAGTTGCAGTCAACTCTAGGGGATTCTTAGAAACCTTCCCTGAGGTTTCACTTTGGAAAACTTAGGGAATCTCCTTATCTTTATCCTCCAGGTTAAGAAGCTGATTCTGGTAATGGCAAATGTTTTTTTTCCCTTGCTACAGTCATTACCACGTCCCCCTCTCAGTGTGTATAGTACATTGGTGCATTAGGAGATATTGCTAATTGGATGCACATTATCCTGTCAAGCTTGATCCTGGTTTCAAAACTTTGACCCAACACAGTCCTCCCAGTAGTCCTCTCAGTTCTTCAGAAATGGCACCAAGGTTGAATCCTCAAAGCAGACAAGAGCTATGCTAGAGAGACCTGAAGTCTAAGAAAAGTTTCTCCATAGAAAGAAGGAGAAAAGGCTAAAAATTGAAAAAAGGACTGAGGAGGCTAGGATGAGGATGAAGATAAAAATTAGAATTACTAGACTAGGCAATTACATGTCTTATGGCCCAGGGTAAGGCAATTTAGAAGAGCTATGGGGATGCTGAAAAATTGCAGTGGTTTAAGTTAGTAGGGTTTTTTAAAAAATATATTCAAAATGTAGTCCTTTGAAGGTGTTCTAAAGTATGATGCACATAGATATATATGTAATATGATGTTTTCTGTGGTACTGTTAAAATAGAACAAATTAGAAGCACTGCAAGTGCTTTATTGGGGAATTTTGTTAGTTTAACTTTAATGGATCTGTATTATGAAACAATACTATATTAGCAAGAGCTCTTCATCTTAAGCAATAGAATCCTGAATTAAATTAGCTCAAGCAAAGAAAGAAAGTGGAATTCATTGGAATTAACTGGCAAAGGCACCTGAAGAATCCAGAAGTTGTCCAGTCTCAGGCAGGTCTGAAGCCAAAACCTCAGAAATTCTGTCTCTCTCTCTGTCTCTGTCTCCCCCGCCTCCTCTTTTCCATTCATGCTCTCCTCTTTCTCTCCTA